GAAATATAATAAAGTATAAAAAAAAATAAAAAGCCCAGGCCACGAACAATAAATAATAAAAAGTATATAGAGGGGAATATACCCAAGGCCACGTACAATAAATATATATAAAAAACAGTAAAATAGAGGGAATATACCCAAAAAGGAAAAAAAACAATATATAATATAAACAGTAAAATAAAAGTGGAATATACAAAAAAAAAAGGCAAAAATACAGATATAATATAATATACAGTATATAAAAAAAAAATACTAAATACCCAGCCCAGGCCAAAAAATACAGATAAATATATAAACAGTAAAATAAAGGGAATATACCCAGCCCAGAGCCAAGTAAAGATATAATATAACAGTATATAGAGGGAATATACCCAGCCCAGGCCAAAAAATCTACAGATATATAAATAAAAATATAGAGGAAAAATACCCAGCCCATAACGTACAGATATAAAATAATAACAGTAATATAAAACAAATATACCCCAGCCCAGGCCACGTAACAATTTATATACATATATAAAAAATATAAAGGCCACGTATATATAAACAGTATATAGAGGGAATAAACCCAGCCCAGGCCAAAAAGTACAGATATATAATACAGTAAATAGAGTGGAATATACCCAGCCCAGGCCACGTACAGAATATATATAATACAAAACATATATAGAGGGAATATACCCAGCCCAGGCCACGTACAGATAAATATATAGTACAGTATATAGAGGGAAAAAATACACCGCAGCCCCCAGCCACGTACAGATATATACAGTAAATAGAGGGAATATACCCAGCCCAGGCCACGTACAGATATATATATATATATATAATATAATAAGATATATACATAAAGTATATAGAGGGAATATACCCAGCCCAACGCCACGTACAGATAAATATAATACACAGTATAATAGAGGGAATATACCCAAAGCCCAGGCCACGTACAGATATATATATATAACACAGTATATAGAGGGAATATACCAAGCCCAGGCCACGTACAGATATAAAATACAGTAAAAGAGGGAATATACCCCAGCCCAGGCCACGTACAGATATATAATAATACAGTATATAGAGGGAATAATACCCAGCCCAGGCCACGTACAGATATATATATAATATAAATCTATATAGAGGGAATAAAAATCTACCCAGCCCAGCCACGTACAGATAATTATATATATAAAAACACAGTATATAAAGGGAATATACCCAGGCCACGTACAGATATATAATACAGTATATAGAGGGAATATACCCACCCAGGCCACGTACAGATATATATATACAGTATATAGAGGGAATATACCCAGCCCAGGCCACGTACAGATATATATATAAACAGTATAATAGAGGGAATATACCCAGGCCACGTACAAATATATATACAGTGTACAGAGGGAATATACACGGAGAGATAAATATAAAACATGAGAGGAAGTGTAAAGGGATACAAAGTCACAACATTCCGAGTTATTTATAGAATCTACTTTCTTCTAGAAGTTCTTAGAGATTCGACTCACCAAACCCGTCTGTCCGTCCGACCCGGGTTAGATCCACCTCGGTCCGTGGACCGTCCCACCAAAAGAAGTTCTGGTGTCCCGTCTGGTCCCGGTTCTGCCACCATTTGGACTTTTTCTCATTTGTCCTCTCACCAATAATAAACCAATTTCTGATGGGAATGAGTCTCAGTTCTTACTGGTTCTGATGGGGAATGGGTCTCAGTTCTTACTGGTTCTAATGGGGAATGGGTCTCAGTTTGTACTGGTTCTGATGGGGAATGGGTCTCAGTTCTTACTGGTTCTGATGGGGAATGGGTCTCATATCGTACTGGTTTTCTGATGGGGAATGGGTCCTCAGTTCTTACTGGTTCTGATGGGGAATGGGTCTCAGTTCTCTACTGGTTCTGATGGGGAATGGGTCTCAGTTTTGTTACTGGTATCTGATGGGGAATGGGTCTCAGTTCTTACTGGTTCTGATGGGGAATGGGTCTCAGTCGTACTGGTTCTGATGGGGAATGGGTCCTCAGTTCTCTTACTGGTTCTGATGGGGAATGGGTCTCAGTTCTTACTGGTTCTGATGGGAATGGGTCTCATTCTCGTACTGGTTCTGATCTGACGGGAATGGTCTCAGTTCACTGGTTCTGATAATGGGTCATCAGTTCTTACTGATGATGAGGAAATGGGTCTCAGTTCTTACTGTTCTGATGGGGAATGGGTTCTGACTGGTTCTGATGGAGAATGAGTTCAGTTCTTAACCAGTTCTGACGGGGAATGAGTCTCAGTTCTTACTGTTGGGTTCTGATGGGGAATGTGTCTTAGTTCTGTTGGTTCTGACGGGGAATGTGTCTCAGTTCAGTGGGTTGGGGAATGGGTGGAGTCTTAGTTCTGTTGGGTCTGATGGGGAATGGGTTTCAGTTCGTATGGTTCTGATGGGGAATGAGTCTCAGTTCTCAAGGTTCTGTGGGGAATGAGTTCATGACAGTTGGTTTTCTGGGGGGGATGGGCCTCGTTCTGTTGGGTTCTGGTGAGGGATGTGTCCTCACTGGCTGTAGTAATAAATCCGGTGTGAGTCCGGTTCGGTTCCGATGGGGTTTCGGTCCGGTGTGGTCGGGACGGGCGGTCCGGAGGGTCCCATCGGTGGTCGGGTCGGGCGGTGGTCGGTCGGTTGGTGCGGGGCTCCGGGTCGGGTCCCCCCGGTGAGGAGGAGAAGGAGCAGCAGACGGGGATCGGGGCGGATCATCCCGGAGAGGAGAGAGAATGACACCGAGCGCAGCCAGAGGGAGCACCGACACCGGGGAGGGGGGCGGACACACCGCCCAGCACTGACATCACAGGAATTACCACCCCCCGTCCCTACTAATACCCCCCCACACTGACAGCACAGGGCATTACCACCCCCCCGTCCCTACTAATACCCCCCCCACACTGACAGCACAGGCATTACCACCCCCCGTCCCTACTAATACCCCCCCACACTGACAGCACAGGGCATTACCACCACCCCGTCCCTACTAAATACCCCCCCACACTGACAGCACAGGGCATTACCACCCCCCGTCCCTACTAATACCCCCCCACACTGACAGCACAGGGCATTACCACCCCCCCGTCCCTACTAATACCCCCCCACACAGACAGCACAGGGCATTACCACCCCCCCGTCCCTACTAATAAGGGGATTACCCCCCCCCCAACACTGACAGCACAGGGCATTACCACCCCCCCCGTCCCTACTAATACCCCCCCCCTTGACACTGACATCACAGGGAATTACCACCCCCCATCCCAACTAATACCCCCCCCCCCGACACTGACAGCACAGGGCATTACCACCACCCCATCCCTACTAATACCCCCCCCCCCCCACACTGACATCACAGGGAATTACCACCCCCCATCCCAACTAATACCCCCCCCCCCCCCCCCGACACTGACAGCACAGGGCATTACCACCCCCCATCCCTACTAATACCCCCCCCCGACACTGACATCACAGGGCATTACCACCCCACATCCCTACTAATACCCCCCCACACTGACATCACAGGGCATTACCACCCCACATCCCCACTGATACCCCCCCACACTGACATCACAGGGAATTACCACCCCCCATCCCTACCAATACCCCCCAACACTGACATCACAGGGCATTACCACCCCCCATCCCTACTAATAGCCCCCGACACTGACATCACAAGTAATTCACTACCCCCCCCCCCCATCTGTACCAATACCCCCAATGCTGACATCACAGGGAATCACTACCCCCCACCCCCCCAAAGAAGCCATCAAGGAGATACCAATGCCCCCCCCCCAATACTGACATCACAGGGAATCACTACCCCCCCCCCCCCCCAAATATACCAATACCCCCAATACTGACATCACAGGGAATCACTACACCCCCCCCCCCCCCGATCTGTCCCAATACTGACATCAAAGGAATCAATACACCCCCCCCCCCCCCCCCCAATATTATACCAATACCCCCAATACTGACATCACAGGGAATCACTACCCCCCCCCCCCCCCCCGATCTATACCAATACCATCACAGGGAATCACTACCCCCTCCCCCCAATTATACCAATACCCCAATACTGACATCACAGGGAATATCTACCCCCCCCCCCCATCTATACCAATACCCCCAATACTGACATCACAGGGAATCACTACCCCCCCAACTATACCAATACCCCCAAAACTGACATCACAGGGAATCACTACCCCCCCCTCCATCTGTACCAATACCCCCCATACTGACATCACAGGGAATCACTACCCCCCCCCCCCCCAACTGTACCAATACCCCCAATACTGACATCACAGGGAATAACTACCCCCCCCATCTGTACCAATACCCCCCCAATACTGACATCACAGGGAATCACTACCCCCCCCCCATATGTACCAATACCCCCAATACTGACATCACAGGGAATCACAACCCCCCTACAACCCCCCCATCTATTCTGTACCAATACCATCAAAACTAATATCCTTCCCCCCAGTACTGACATCACAGGACACCCCCCCCCCCTTCCCATCCATCCTTACTATAATACCCATGTCACAGGATATCATTCATCCTCCCACCGACACCCAGGAAGAGGGGGATTCTTCCTCCCGCTGACCAATCATATACAGGCGGCATATTCATCCCAACCACAACTATTATGAGGAAACTATTTTTTTCTCTTACTGAGCACAAGGCATTCCTCCCCCCGACCCCCAATGTAAGGGGCATTCCTCCTCCCCCCGACCCCCAATGTAAGGGGCATTCCTCCCCCCCGACCCCCAATGTAAGGGGCATTCCTCCCCCCGACCCCCAATGTAAGAGGAATTCCTCCCCCCCCGACCCCCAATGTAAGGGGAATTCCTCCCCCCGACCCCCAATGTAAGGGGCATTCCTCCCACTGACCCCCAATGTAAGGGGCATTCCTCCCCCCCGACCCCCAATGTAAGAGGAATTCCTCCCCCCGACCCCCAATGTAAGGGACATTCTTCCCACTGACCCCCAATGTAAGAGGAATTCTTCCCACTGACCCCCAATGTAAGGACATTCTTCCCACTGACCCCCCAATGTAAGGGACAGTCTTCCCTCTGACCCCCAATGTAAGGGACATTCTTCCCACTGACCCCCAATGTAAGGGACATTCTTCCCACTGACCCCCAATGTAAGGGACATTCTTCCCACTGATCACCAATGTAAGGGACATTCTTCCCTCTGACCCCCAATGTAATGGACATTCTTCCCACTGAGCCCCAATGTAAGGGACATTCTTTCCACTGACCCCCCAATGTAAGGGACATTCTTTCCACTGACCCCCCAATGTAAGGGACATTCTTCCCACTGACCCCCAATGTAAGGGACATTCTTCCCCACCGACCCCCCAATGTAAGGGACATTCTTCCCACCGACCCCCAATGTAAGGGACATTCTTCCCACTGATCACCAATGTAAGGGACATTCTTCCCACTGACCCCAATGTAAGGGACATTCTTCCCACTGATCCCCAATGTAAGGGACATTCTTCCCACTGACCCCCCAATGTAAGGGACATTCTTCCCACTGAGCCCCAATGTAAGGGACATTCTTTCCACTGACCCCCAATGTAAGGGACATTCTTCCCACTGACCCCAATGTAAGGGACATTCTTCCCACTGATCACCAATGTAAGGGACATTCTTCCCACTGACCTCCAATGTAAGGGACATTCTTCCCCACCGACCCCCAATGTAAGGGACATTCTTCCCACTGATCACCAATGTAAGGGACATTCTTCCCACTGACCTCCAATGTAAGGGACATTCTTCCCACCGACCCCCAATGTAAGGGACATTCTTCCCACCGACCCCCAATGTAAGGGACATTCTTCCCACTGACCCCCAATGTAAGGGACATTTCTTCCCACTGACCCCCAATGTAAGGGACATTCTTCCCACTGATCACCAATGTAAGGGACATTCTTCCCACTGACCTCCAATGTAGGGACATTCTTCCCACTGACCCCCAATGTAAGGGACATTCTTCCCACTGACCACCAATGTGAGGGACATTCTTCCCACTGACCTCCAATGTAAGGGACATTCTTCCCACTGACCCCCAATGTAAGGGACATTCTTTCCCACTGGCCACCAATGTAAGGGACATTCTTCCCACTGACCCCCAATGTAAGGGACATTCTTCCCTCTGACCCCCAATGTAAGGGACATTCTTCCCACTGACCCCCAATGTATGGGACGTTCTTCCCCACTGATCACCAATGTAAGGGGCATTCTTCCCACTGACCCCCCAATGTAAGGGACATTCTTCCCACTGACCTCCAATGTAAGGGACATTCTTCTACTTCTTAATAGTTGATGGAACAGTGATAACCGGCATATTCAAGGCTTTCGATATCTGTTTATATGCTTTTCCCGTCTTTCTTAAGTCCCATTACCTTGTTACGCAGGTTTTTGACAGTTCTTTTCTGCTCCCCATGGCTCAGTATCTAGCCTGCTCAGTGAATCCACGTGAGAGCGAACAAACTCACTGTTTATACACTGACACTAACTGCTATTTAATAGTCACAGATGTGGGAAATTAACCTTTTAACTGGTTCTGTGCTGCCCTATAGCAGAAAATACTGCCACACGGGTGCGCAAAATCACATATGTACACGTGAAATCGCAGGTCCGGGTAGGGGGCGCTATCCATTCATGGCCTCGGCTGTCAGTCACCGGGTCCCGCCCAGTGATTACTTGCCAGCACCCGGTGATCACGGAGTATCTCCGACGGGGGAGAGACCTGTATGTAAACAACACAGATCTCTCCCGTCAGCTCCAGCACACTGCTTTGTATGGCTCTGCGTAGCAGCATGCGCACAGTGAAACACACACCTTTGATCGCCCTTCAAATTAACCCCTTCCTGCTCAGTGCCATTAGTACAGTGTCGGTGCTTTTTATTAGCACTGATCACTGTATTGGTGTCACTGGGGATGTCAGTGACACCAAGTCAGTCCTCCCCCCCCCCCCCAGTGTCAGAATGCCCGCCGCAGTCCCGCTATAAGTCGCTGATCGCCGCCATTACTAGTAAAAAAAGAAACAAAAATCCCAGCATCTATCCCGCCATTTGTAGACGCTACAACTTTCCCGTAAACCAATTCATTTGGGATTTTTTTCAGCGAAGACACGCAGCGCAAGACATTTTGGCCGAAATTTATGACAAAGTTGTATTTTTTTAAAAGTTTTTTACTGGACGTGTTTAATAGCAAAAAGTCCAAAATATTGTTTTTTTTCTCAAAATTGGCATTTTTTGTTTATAGCACAAAAAATTAAATACCGCACAGAGGATGAAATACCACCGAAAGAAGCTCAATACGTGGGGAAGAAAGGACGTGTATTTCATTTAGGTCCAGTGTTGCATGACCGCGCAATTGTCAGGTAAAGTAACGCAACGCCCTAATGCAAAAAATGGCCTGGCCAGGAAGGGGGGGGGGGGGGGGGATCCTCAGGAGGGGGAGGGGCTAAAAAGCCACAGATGTGGGGAATTCACCCCTTAACCGCCATTGTACCCCGTGTGTGTCACCTTGTGTGTCTGTACCAAGGCTGAACATTCCAGGGGGCGGAGACTTCTGATCCGGGGGGGAAGACTTCTGATTTGGGGGGGGGGGGTTTTAGAGACTTCTGATCCGGGGGGGGAAAATTTCTGATCCGGGGAGTGTTAGAGACTTCTGATTGGGGGGGGAGACTTCTGATCCGGGGGGGTTTAGAGACTTCTGATCGGGGGGAGACTTCTGATCCAGGGGGGGTTTAGAGACTTCTGATCAGGGGGAGACTTCTAATCCGGGGGGGGGGGGTTTAGAGACTTCTCATCCGGGGGGGGGGAAACATTTGATTGGGGGGTTTAGAGACATCTGATCCGGGGGGGGGGAGACTTCTGACCGGGGGTGGGGGGGGAGTTGAGACTTCTGAACCGGGGTGAGGAGACTTCTGATCGGGGGGGGTTTAGAGACTTCTGATCCGGGGGAGACTTCTGATCCGGGGGGGTTTAGAGACTTCTGATCCGGGGGGGTTTAGAGACTCCTGATCGGGGGAGACTTCTGATCGGGGGGGGAGACTTCTGATCCGGGGGGGTTTAGAGACTTCTGATCGGGCGGAGACTTCTGATCCAGGGGGGGTTTAGAGACTTCTGATCAGGGGGAGACTTCTAATCCGGGGGGGGGTTTAGAGACTTCTGATCGGGGGGAAGACTTCTGATTCAGGGGGGGTTTAGAGACTTCTGATCGGGGGGGGGGACTTCTGATCCGGGGGGGTTTAGAGACTTCTGATCCGGGGGGAAGACTTCTGATCTGGGGGTGTTTAGAGACTTCTTATCGGGGGGGGAGACTTCTGATCCGGGGGGGGAAGACTTCTGATCTGGGGGTGTTTAGAGACTTCTTATCGGGGGGGGGGAGAGACTTCTGATCCGGGCCATTTTGGGGATTTCGTTATCAGGATTCAAAAAGGGGCCAAACAACGATGTGATCATAAATGGCTTCTTACCATCACCAACATTTCCCCATTTCTGCGGGAGGAGGGAGACTTTCGGGGTCAGCTGTCTGTGATGGACGGATCCATTGTGCTGAGGTTTCTATGTGTCTGTGGGACGCGCAGCTCAGTATTGAGGAATATTTGTGGCACGTGCAGAGTATACGGCCTCCTCCTATATATATATATATACAGCGCCACTGTCCCCCTCTGTGTATACTGGACCCCAGACATGGGGCTCAGGACACCCCTTTTCGTATTGGTCCCCCCATACAGCAGACCCGCGGTCACTCTGGGGACAATCGTTTTCTCTGGGATTCGGGAGCGGAGAAGGGGCCGACATTGCACAGATCTCCGTCCCCCTTTCTGTGTATACTGGACCCGGGACATGGGGCTCCTCAGGACACCCCTTTTCGTATTGGTCCCCCCATACAGCAGACCCGCGGTCTCTCTGGGGACAATCGTTTTCTCTGGGATTCGGGAGAAGGGGCCGACATTGCACAGATCTCCGTCTCCCCCGGCTAAGTGTGTGAAAGGTCTTTTCCTGACATTCTGCTGCTGGGTGGGAATTATTATCCCAGGAAGGGAGGAATTAGGAAAACAATCACTTTAACAATCCAACCGACTCAAAATAGAAGAAACTCTCAATATAAACATTGCGATGAGGTCATGTCAGCCGCCATCATCCGGGGCGAGGTGACAAAAGGGGGGGGGGGGGCGCTGCTGTACAGGGGAGACGTAACATTTGTGCCGCGCTACAATGACCCTTCTGGGGTCTATAGGAGAGCAAAGTGTCTACATTGTGTCCTGTTATCGGATCAGATCCCACAAAGACCCCCCGTGTACAGATATCCCACCAGACCTTCCACAGGGACCCCCACATACAGAGATCCCGCCAGACCGTCTATAGGGACCCCCCGCGTACAGAGATCCCACCAGACCGTCTATAGGGACCCCCGCGTACAGAGATCCCACCAGACCTTCCACAGGGACCCCCCCGCATACAGAGATCCCACCAGACCGTCTATAGGGACCCCCGCATACAGAGATCCCGCCAGATCTTCTATAGGGACCCCCCGCGTACAGAGATCCCGCCAGACCATCTATAGGGACCCCCGCGTACAGAGATCCCGCCAGACCCCCCCACATACAAGAGATCTATAGGGACCCCCGCGTACAGAGATCCCGCCAGACCTTATATAGGGACCCCCCGCATACAGAGATCCCGCCAGACCGTCTATAGGGACCCCCCAGCGTACAGAGATCCCGCCAGACCGTCTATAGGGACCCCCCCCCCCAGCGTACAGAGAGATCCCGCCAGACCGTCTATAGGGACCCCCCCTCCCCACGTACAGAGATCCCCCAGACCGTCTATAGGAAACCCCCGCGTACAGAGATCCCACCAGACCGTCTATAGGGACCCCCCCGTACAGAGATCCCACCAGACCGTCTATAGGGACCCCCGTGTACAGAGATCCCGCCAGACCATCTATAGGGAACCCCCGTACAGAGATCCCACCAGACCGTCTATAGGGACCCCCCGTACAGAGATCCCACACCAGACCGTCTATAGGGACCCCCACCGCGTACAGAGATCCCGCCAGACCGTCTATAGGGACCCCCCTGCGTATAGAGATCAGGGACCCCAGACAGAAGATCCCACCAGACCGTCTATAGGGACCCCCGCGTACAGAGATCCCACCAGACCGTCTACAGGGACCCCCGCGTACAGAGATCCCACCAGACCGTCTATAGGGACCCCCGCGTACAGAGATCCCACCAGACCGTCTATAGGGACCCCCCGTACAGAGATCCACCAGACCGTCTACAGGGACCCCCGCGTACAGAGATCCCACCAGACCTTCTATAGGGACCCCCGCGTACAGAGATCCCACCAGACCTTCTACAGGACCCCCGGTACAGAGATCCCACCAGACCGTCTATAGGGGACCCCCGCGTACAGATATCCCACCAGACCTCTACAGGGACCCCCGCGTACAGAGATCCCACCAGACCTTCTACAGGGACCCCCGCGTACAGAGATCCCACCAGACCGTCTACAGGGACCCCCCGCGTACAGACATCCCACCAGACCGTCTACAGGGGTCCCCGTGTACAGAGATCCCACCAGACCTTCTACAGGGGACCCCCCGCGTACAGAGATCCCACCAGACCTTCTACAGGGACCCCCCGCGTACAGAGATCCCGCCAAGACCTTCTACAGGGACCCCCCGCGTACAGAGATCCCACCAGACCTTTTTCTACAGGGACCCCCGCGTACAGAGATCCCACCAGACCTTCTACAGGGACCCCCCGGACAGAGATCCCACCAGACCTTCTACAGGGACCCCCGCGTACAGAAGGACATCCCACCAGAACCGTCTATCCCCCCGTGTACCAGACCGTCTACAGGGGTCCCGTGTACAGAGATCCCACCAGACCTTCTACAGGGACCGTACAGAGATCCCGCCAAGGAGGGACCCCCGCGTACCCCGTGTACAGATATCCCACCAGACCGTCTATAGGGACCCCCGCCATACAGAGATCCCACCAGACCGTCTATAGGGACCCCCCGCGTACAGAGATCCCACCAGACCATCTATAGGGACC